ACCACCTATGACATATAACAGAGAATTTCTGGCAACATTTGTGGCAACAACTGCTGGGATATTTCGACCAAAATACATTGATGAACACTTAAACCATTTGTTCTGTGGGAAAGTAAAAGAAGAAAGGTAAAAGGAAGGGGGGAGGAGGGAGGTTATACAATATTTTACTTCCTTTTCACTACAGTATTACAAAAATTCTTCCACATCCTAGCTACAATATTGTAATTCAAATCTTGTTGTATATAATAATAAGAATTCATAAGTACAGCACTGGTAAATAATCTTACCTGTTCAAAAGAATATCTTTCCATTGATTTTTCCTCCTGAACACCACCTACTACATACAAAAAGTTATCCAAAACTGCAACACTCATAATGTCGTGCAACCTGTGAGGGTTTGGTCGACCTATCATTGGTGGTAGATTCTTCCACTCCCCAGTCACAGGATTGTATGAGAGAAGATCACGTAGGGGCTTGCGAGTGTACGTATATCCACCAACAATGTAGATAAGACCTTGATATTCTACTGTACCCATGCTGTAAAAGAAAAAAAAATATATAGGCCACTGCTACATTTTCTCTTATTATTATCAGTAGTTCATACTATCAGTCAGGAAATCCAATTTGAAAATTATTATTGTACTTACCTGGATCTAGCTTCTGGCATATTTGACTCTAATAATCTCCACTCATCTGCAATAGGGTCATATCTTTCAATCGTTTGGGATATGACCGTCCTCGTCCAACTCAAGACAGTCGCACCACCAAAGGCATAGAGATAACCTCCATGAGCGCATAATCCAAAATCACACCGTGGGAGCACCATAGAAGATATCCCGGTCCAATTATCTTTCTGAGGATCATAAACATCACCATTTGCCAAAATCTGATTATCATGTCCCCGTTTTTTTATTTCTATCTCCCCTCCAACAACGAAAATTTTCCCATGTAAGACTGCTATTCCTGGCCCACATCTCTCAATTTTCATGGGGCAAACTTTATGCCATTTCTGCTTAAAGATATCAAAACATTCGACACTTTTATATGTAAACAGATCTGTTCTTCGAAAGGGGACACAGATTTCTCTCTTTTGTCCACCTAGGACATAAATTTTCTTTCGTGTAGAAATTCTTGGCTGGACATACGAGGCTTCCCTTTTGGCCAAGTTTGTGTGCTGTTTAAGGTTAACCTTCAATCTGATATCAGCGGAGCACTCACTAATTGATTTTTCTATTAGTTTACTTGAAATTAAAGACAATTTCAGTCGTTTTAAAATGTCAAAATTCCAACAACAATATCTATTATTTATATCTTGTGCTTGTGTAATCCATCTGATGGCAGCAGAGAATACCTGCAATAAATAATAGAGAAAGATAAATTCGAGTTCAAATTTTTGTAAAAGTCAATTGAAAGTTGTACATATTAAATAAAAAAAATTATTTAAATTTTACCTGAAACTCAGAGTCAATATGAAGATACTCTGAATCCAAAAAATACAGTAGAATTTCTTTCGGAATCTCAAGAAATTCTTGCTCCATTGTCACTTCTACGAAATTGGAGAAGATGAAATCCCGCGAAGAATGCAGCAACCTTACTAAATTATGGGCCTCAGCAAACCTGTTTTTTAAAATAAAATAAATATGGAATTAGTTACGTATAGGTGCAGATAAAAATACATATTATATAAATAGTTTGAAAATAATTAATTATTATACTGTACGTACCGGTAAATTCCTAAAGCATTAGATGGATGAAGTTCCCTCTTGAGAAAATCTGTACAAACAAGTACAGCACGGGACATTATCAGCATGTTTGCAGCCGCAATTAACTCCTGTGCGTTTTCCACTATTATCTTGATGTTTCCTAAAGTATTTAAAAAACAAAAATAAATTTTCTATTTATAATTATTTCTTTTTGTTTTACATATAGCATAGCACTATGAAAACTTAAAATGTTTTCCCTTACCAGTATATATGAACTCGATGAGCAGTTTTAATATATTGGGTTTCATAAACTTCATTTCTATTGACTGTGTTGTTTTTTCAGCTAATCCACCAGTAAACATGGTCTTAAAATATTTGCTTCCCGCCGAGAGTATTACACGGTGAGCCTGTGGAATAAAATGTAATCTCCATCAGTTTTTTTTTTTTTTATATTTGTCCCCGAGGGGGGCTAGTTTATTGATTGGGGTGGGTACGTTAAGGGGGCGTAAAAGTCTAGGTGAAGGGTCGTCGTCATAACATAGGTTTTGTCAAGTTTAAATAAAAATGAGAGATGGATTGAATTTGTAGGTGGTGGGGGGGGGAGGGAGTTCCTGGTTATGATAAAGATTGACGTGACATTAATATGTCGTCAAATACCAGGCCTATGACTGGGAGGAGGACTGGGAGGAGGGATATTTTGTCTGGGAAGGAAAAAGTGTTGGTAACAGCCTGGGACCTATAGGAGGAGGTCATGGGGCAAGTGGAGGATGGAAAATGAGAGAGGCCATAATAACAGTGCGGTGAGGTACCTATAGATGTAGACTGGTCGAACAATAGGAAGTAAGCCAAAATCAAACCACTGCTAGGAAGCAAGCCAAAATCAAACCACTGCTAGGAAGCAAACCAAAAATCAAACCACTTCTAGGAAACATTCAGGGAAGTTAGGAGATTTCTTCCACTATTCCTTGGTCCTAGACTCCTGGGCAGTTAGGGCGGCGGCGGGTAGAGTGTGGACGGTGTACTTCGATATGGGTGTAAAAGGTGGGTGATGGAGGGCAGGCAGAGAAGAAAGTGTAGGAGATAAATACAGGTAAATGTTTCACTCACTCACCTTCACAACTGATCCATCAGCTAATAATATTTCTACATCACATAACTCTTGTGACTGCCAGAGGAAATGTATGTAGTCTAGCAGGTAGTTCGGATAAGATTTACATTCCTCTTCCTCCTCCTTCTCCTCCTCGTTATGAGAGAGCTCCACACGTGCAGCCGCCATCTTCAGATACTAATGTAATACTAACTAGTTGTCAGTTTTATTTTTAGTGGTGTGGTGATATCTGGTAATACCCGTAGTGGTGGTGGTGGTGGTGGTGGTGGTGGTGCTTCCGTTGCTTCTTCCAACAGTAACAAAACTAAACTACAGCCACACTCCTAAGACAGTCAAACCACCAAAGGCATAGAGATAACCTCCATGAGCGCATAATCCAAAATCACCGTGGGAGCACCATAGAAGATATCCCGATCAAATTATCTTCCAAAAGCGGATCAGGATTATAAAGTTCATCGTCTGCCGGTTCAATTTCTATATGTAAGACTGCTACTTCTGGCCCACATCTCTCAATTTTCATTGGGCAAACTTTCTGCCATTTCTGCCTAAAGCCCATAAATGCTAGGCATTTAATTTTATTATACTATATTTGTATATGCATAGCTAGGTTACACAGAAGATAGACTGCAAATGAACAGTACATGTGTTATTGCTCTATACTGTATGTGTGTGTGTGTGTGTGTGGGGGGGGGTATGTAGTTACTTTGGTTAAAGCCAAGATTTATGTGTACTGTACAATATGTGTATAAAATATTAATGTAGTAGTCTTGTGTTTTCATATATAATGGTTGCCTTGCTACCTACTATAACATGCTCAACAATCTTGTAGATATTTAAATTTAAGATTATTTAAGAATTATACTGTGGCTAAAATTTTACTAATGAATTGTTTTCTTTGCAGTACATCATGCAGATCTTCGTGAAAACCCTCACTGGAAAGACTATTACTCTTGAAGTAGAACCTTCAGACACCATTGAAAATGTAAAGGCAAAAATTCAGGATAAGGAAGGCATCCCCCCAGACCAGCAGAGATTGATCTTTGCTGGTAAGCAGTTGGAGGATTGTCGCATTCTTTCTGACTACAATATCCAGAAGGAATCTACACTCCATTTGGTATTGCGTCTTAGAGGAGGAATGCAGATCTTTGTGAAAACCTTTACAGGAAAGATTACCCTAGAAGTAGAACCTTCAGACACCATTGAAAATGTAAAGGCAAAAATTCAGGATAGGGAAGGCACCCCACCAAAGCAGCAGAAATTGATCTTTGCTGGTAAGCAGTTGGAGGATTGTCGCATTCTTTCTGACTGCAATATCCAGAAGGAATCTACACTGCGTCTTATTAGAGGAGGAAACAACATCTTTGTGAAAACCCTTACCCTTACAGGAGAGATCATTATCCTAGAAGTAGAATCTTCAGACGATATCCACAAGGAATGTACACTCCCCCCTTTGGTATTGCGTCATAGAGGAATGCAGATCTTTGTGAAAAAATAAAGTATTCCGGATGAAATGTTCAAATTTCCTTTAATGTATGGAATGGAAAAGATTTAATTTCTTTTTGCACATTGTTATTATTTTAACCGAACCAAATAAACACTATTAAAATTATTTTATGCATTGTTTTTTTATCACATACTGCAATGTGAAAAACTGAGTATTTTTGTTTTCTCGATTGGCTAATTTGCAATGTGACCTAGCAGGTAGTTGGCAGTATGTTGGGATAGGTTGGGTAGAGTTTACAAAGAATAATACAATTTTATATCATATAGGGTAGTAAAAAACTATACATTTATTTATTTGCTTTTTATTTACTAAAATAAGAATGAGTGAGGATGAAGGAGGAGGAGGAGGACATCAGTATATAGGTTTTCAAAGTTTCGAGTAGTCAAATTAAGACTGCTATAGCATTAGTCCGACTTTCAGGGAGTGGTGTACAGCTTATCCACTTGTTATTCTTAGGGTCGAAATACTCCACATTAGCGAGAGAAATCTAAAAAGAAAAAAAAAGTTATCAATATTATTATCAATATTTATCATTTTATATTAATCATTCTTTTAATCTTCTTTCCTTACCATTCCAATTCCATTCAAACCACTCCAGTAACCGCCTATGACATATAACAGAGAATTTGTGACAACAACTGCTGGGCTACTTCGACCCAAATACTCTGAAGACGAACACTTAAACCATTGGTTCTGTGGGAAAGTAAAAGAAAAAAGGTTAAAACAAGAGTAAGGGGGCGGGAGGGGGGTATACAATTTTTTCCCTTTGTTCCTAAAGTATTACAAAAATTCTTCCACTTCCTGGTTACAATATTAAACTTTAAGTACTGGTAAATAATCTTACCTGCTCAAAAGAATATCTTTTCATTGAATTTTCATCCAGAATACCATCACCTACTACGTACAAAAAATTATCTAAAACTGCAACGCCTATCGTCTTAGACGGTGGACCTTGCATTGGTGTTAGATTCTTCCACTCTCCAGTTACAGGATTGTATGAGAGAAAATCATGCAGGGGATTGTAAGTGTCCGTATATCCACCAATAATGTAAATAAGACCTCGATGTTCTACTATACCCATGCTATAAAAAGAAAAAAAAAAGGAAAAAAAACAGTACAGGTCACTGCGACATTTTCTCATTATTATTATTAGTAATTCACACTATCAGTAAATCCAAATTGTTATTGTACTGGTTATTGTACTTACTTGGATCTAGCTTCTGGCATATTTGACTCTAATAATCTCCACTCATCTGTAATAGGGTCATATCTTTCAATATTTTTTCCTATTTCCATTGAATCCGTCCAACCACCGAAGGCATAGAGATAACCACCATAAGCGCATAATCCAAAATCACACCGTGGGATTACCATAGAAGATATTCCAGTCCAATAATCTTCCTGTGGATCATAAACTTCGCCATCCGCCAAAATCTGAGCGTCTATCTCTCCAACCCCTCCAACAACGAAAATTTTTCCATGTAAGACTTCTATTCCTGGTGAAATTCTCCCAATTTTCATAGGACAAACTTTTTGCCATTTCTGACTAAAGGTATCAAAACATTCGATACTTTTAAGTAGATATTCCTCTGATCTATTCCACATTATATTGAATTCTTTCCTTGATCCACCTATGACATAAATTTTCTTTCGGTTACAAATTCTTGGCTGGACATAAAAGGAGGCTTCCTCTTTAGCCAAGTTTATCTGCTGTTTAAGGTTAACTTTCAATCTGATGTCAGAGCACTCATTAATTGATTTTTCTATTAGTTTACTTGAAATTAAAGACAATTTCACTCGTTTTAAAATATCGAGAATCCAACAAAGTCTATCAGTTATTTCTTGTGTAATCCATCTGATGGCAGCAGAGAATACCTGCAATATAACAAAAGAAAAGAAAAAGAAAGTGAGAGCTGCAATAAAAAAAAAAATTTCAATAAATAAATATTAAATAAAAAGAAAAATATCTAATATTTACCTGAAACTCAGAGTCAATATGAAGATACTCCGAATCCAAAAAATATAGTAGAGTTTCTTTAGGAATCTCAAGAAACTCTTGCTCCATTGTCACTTCTACGAAATTGGAGAAGATGAAGTCCCGCGAACCATTCAACAAGCTTACTAAATAATGGGCCTGAGCAAACCTGTAAAAAAAAAAAAAAGGAACACATCCTCTCTAGAATCGGATTAGATCGAATCAGAATCAATCAAATTAAAACAGAACAGAACAAAATAAAAAAATTTACAAAATAAAAATTCGTTACCTGTAAATTCCCCAAACATTGGATGGATCAAGTTCGCTCTTGAGAAAGTCTGTACAAACAAGTACAGCACGGGGCATGAACAGCATGTTCGCAGCCACAATTAACTCCTGTGCGTTTTCCACTGTTATCTCGATGTTTCCTAAAGTATTTTTACAAAAAAAGAAAAAAAAATTTCATTTATTCATTTGCAACAAAATAAAAATTTTACATATAGATAGCAGCATAGCACTATGAAAACTTAAAATATTTTCCCTTACCAGTATATATGAAGTCGACGAGCAGTTGTAATATATTGGGTTTCATAAACTTCATTTCTATTGACTGTGTTGTTTTCTCAGCAAATCCACACGTAAACATGGTCTTAAAATAGTCGCTTCCCATTGACAGTATTACACGGTGAGCCTGTGGAATAAAATGTAATCCCCATCGTTTATTTTTTCAAGTTTGTTCGTTCGTTCATACTGCCTTTATACATACATTAAGGGGACGTAAAAGTCTGGGTGAAGAGTCGTTGTCATAGCATAGGTTTTGTGAAGTTACATAAAAGTGAGAGAATTATGGACGGACGGACAACAAAATCAAACCATTACTTGGAAGCAAACCAAAATCAAACCACTGCTAGGAAGCAAGCCCAAATCAAAGTACTGCTAGGAAACATTGATTCTATCGTGCGAAGAAAGTTGAATAAACAGCTCTTTATTTGTGTCGGGGGAGAAAGGAAGTTAGGGGAGAGCAGGGAAATTTCTTCCACTGCACTGGATAGACTTTGTTAATCATGTTCCACTGACTTCTCCTGGGCGGCAATAAGGAATGGAGGGTGAGTGTGGGCGGTGTAGTTAAGTTTCCCTCCCCCGATATGGTGTGTAAATGATGGGTGGGTGATGGAGGGCAGGCAGAGAAATGTTTCTTCACTCACAGATAAATGTTTCACTCACTCACCTTCACAACTGATCCATCAGCTAATAATATTTCTACATCACATAACTTTTCTGACTGCCAGAGGAAATGTATATCGTCTAGTAGGTAGTTAGGATAAGATTTACATTCCTCCTCCTCCTCCTCCTCCTCCTCGTGATGAGAGAGCTCCACACTTGCAGCCGCCATCTTCAGATACTAATGTAAGACTAACCTAACCAGTTGTCAGTTTGGGAGAGAAGAGAGTAAATTGAGACTGCTCTAGCATTAATATATCAAGTTCCCGGTACATTTTATGTTAATAGGCTGTGATTAGGAGGAGGGATAGACTCAAGGTTTCGAGTCAAATTGAGACTACTAAAGCATCATTAGACCGTTCCTCAGGGAGTGGTGTACAGTTTCTCCACTTTTTATCCTCTGGTTTTAGATTAAAACTTATTATAAAGGATTATTATAAAAATATTTAGGAATTATTAATATATTTTATTCTTATTTCCATTCTTCCTTACCAAGTTATGATAACCGTAACCGCCTATGACATAACAGAGGATTTGTGGCAACAACTGCTGGGATATTTCGACAAAATTAAACAATGGTACCATTGATCCATAAGGATACTTTATAAGAATACTTTCAAATTTCATGTTAGGGTAAGTTAAAAAAGATAGGAAACAAGCTTTTTTTTTATTTAAAATGGATTAAATGTGGAGGAGACAAATGTCAGTCTTGAAGGAAGCTTTCTTGATTGGGGATGTCGAAGGGAGTTAAAGTAAGACTGCTCTAGCATTAGACCGACCCTCGGGAAGTGATGTACAGTTCATCCACTTATTAGTCTTAGGGTCGAAACACTCCACATTAGCGACAGATACCTTTAGAAAAAAAAACAGGTGGTTAGGTGGTTAAATTTGTAATATAATTTATTCATTTCATTCTTCCATTTCCATTCTTCCTTTCTTACCAGTTCAAGGTGGTCATTGGGACGATGACCACCTATGATATATAACAGAGAATTTGTGGCAACAACTGCTGGGATACTTCGCCAAAAATTCATTGATGAACACTTAAACCATTCGTTCTGTGGAAAGGAAAAGAAGGGAGGTTATACAATTTTTACTCCTTTTTTCACTACACTACAGTATTACAAAAATTCTTCTCCCATATTACTTAAATTATGATTATTGTCTTGGGAAAGAGAAAAGAAGGGAGTTATACAATTTTTACTCCCTTTTCACTACTATAATTCAAATTGTATTGTATATAATTATAAGCATGCACATTACCTGTTCAAAAGAATATCTTTCTAGTGATTTTTCCCCTTCTTCATTAAAAAGACCACCCACTAAATACAAAAAGTTATTCAAAACTGCAACACCCATGTAGTTGTAGCGAGGTGGAGCACTCAGTGCTGCTAGATCTCTCCACTCCCCAGTTACAGGATTGTATGAGAGAAGTTCATGAAAGGGGTTATAAGAGTCCATACGTCCACTAACAATGTAAATAAGACCTTGATGTTCTACTATACCCATGCTGTAAAAAAAAAAAAAAAGTATAGGCACTGTTACATTTTCTCATTATTATCAGTAGTTCACACTATCAGTCAGTAAATCCAATTTGAAAATTGTTATTGTACTTACTTGGATCTACGTTCTGGCATATTTGACTCTAATAATGTCCACTCATCTGCAATAGGGTCATATCTTTCAATACTTTTTTCGATGACCGATCCCGTCCAACCACCGAAGGCATAGAGAAAACCTCCATGAGCGCATAATCCAAAATCAGACCGTGGGATCACCATAGAAGATATTCCAGTCCAATAATCTTCCTGTGGATCATAAACTTCGCCATCTGCCCAAATCTGACTGTCCTCTCCACTCCCTCCAACAACGAAAATTTTCCCATGTAAGACTGCTATTCCTGGTGAACTTCTCACAATTTTCATAGGGCAAACTTTCTGCCATTTCTGCCTAAAGATATCAAAACATTCGACACTTTTAAATGTAAACCCATCTGATATATAGAGTTCTTTCATGAATCCACCTATGAGATAAATTTTCTTTCGAGTACAAATTCTTGGCTGGACAGAAAAGGCTGCTTCCTTTTTAGCCAAGTTTGTCTGCTTTTTAAGGTTAACCTTCAATTTAATATCAGCGGAGCACTCATTAATTGCTTTTTTTATTAGTTTACTTGAAATTAAAGGCAATTTCAGTCGTTTTAAAATGTCAAAATTCCAACAACAATATCTATTATTTATATCTTGTGCTTGTGTAATCCATCTGATAGCAGCAGAGAATACCTGCAATAAATAATAGAAAGATAAATTCGGGTTAATAATCTTGTAAATAAAAGTCAATTGAAAGTTGTACATATTAAATAAAAAAAAAATATTTACATTTTACCTGAAACTCAGAGTCAATATGAAGATACTCTGAATCCAAAAAATACAGCAGAATTTCTTTCGGAATCTCAAGAAATTCTTGCTCCATTGTCACTTCTACGAAATTGGAGAAGATGAAGTCCCGGGAAGAATGCAGCAACCTTACTAAATTATGGGCCTCAGCAAACCTGTTTAAAAAAAAAAAAAAAAAATTACGTATAGGACAGATAAAAATACATATTATATAAACAGTTGGAAAATAATTAATTATTATTATTATACTGCACGTACCGGTAAATTCCCAAAGCATTAGATGGATGAAGTTCGCTCTTGAGAAAGTCTATACAAACAAGTACAGCACGTGATATCATCAACATGTTCGCAGCCGCAATTAACTCCTGTGCATTTTCCACTGTTATCTCGATGTTTCCTAAAGTTTTTGACAAAAAAAGAAAAAAAAATTTCATTTATTCATTTGCAACAAAATAAAATTTTACATATAGATAGCAGCATAGCACTATGAAAACTTAAAATATTTTCCCTTACCAGTATATATGAAGTCGACGAGCAGTCGTAATATATTGGGTTTCATGAACTTCATTTCTATTGACTGTGTTGTTTTCTCAGCAAATTCACACGTAAACATGGTCTTAAAATATTTGCTTCCCGCTGACAGTATTACACGGTGAGCCTGTGGAATAAAATGTAATCCCATCAGATTACATAAAAGTGAGAGAATTATGGACGGACAGACAACAAAATTAAACCACTGCTAGGAAGCAAGCCGCCCAAATCAAACCACTGCTAGGAAGCAAGCCGCCCAAATCAAATCACTGCTTGGAAACATTGATTCTCTCGTGACGAAGAAAGTTGGATAAGCAACTCTTTATTTGTGTCGGAGAAGAAGGGAAGTTGGGGGAACAGGGAAATTTCTTCTACTGTACTGGATATACTTTGTTAACCATGTTCCACTGACTTCTCCTAAACGGACGGTGAGTGTGGGCAGTGTAGTTAAGTTTCCCTCCCCCTATATGTGTGTAAATGGTGGGTGGGTGATGGAGGGCAGGCAGAGAAAGATATGTAGGTAGGAGGTAAATGTTTCTTCACTCACAGATAAATGTTTCACTTACTCACCTTCACAACTGATCCATCAGCTAATAATATTTCTACATCACATAACTCTTGTGACTGCCAGAGGAAATGTATGTAGTCTAGCAGGTAGTTCGGATAAGATTTACATTCCTCTTCCTCCTCCTTCTCCTCCTCCTCTTTCTCCTTCTCCTCCTTCTCCTTGTGATGAGAGAGCTCCACATGTGCAGCCGCCATCTTCAGATACTAATGTAATACTAACCAGTTGTCAGTTTTGTTTTTAGTTGTGTGGTGATATCTGGTAATACCCGTGGTGGTGGTGGTGGTGGTGCTTCCGTTGCTTCTTCAAACAATAACAAAACTAAACTACAGCCAGCAGCCTCTTTCTTTCAGTATGTTGGGGTAATTTAATAATATGTAATATTTGTGTGTTAAGTTAGTTGAGTGCCCATTAAAACTGGGGCCCATTAAGATTAGAGGCCCCATTAACCCTGGGGCCCATTAAAGAAGACCTGGATAAAAAAAAGCAAAAAAATATACACTTTTTTACTCATCAGACCGTTCCTCAGGGGTGTACAGTTTCTTCATTTGTTATCCTTAGGATCAAAATACTCCCTCTACATGACAATTTTTTACTTCTTTTTCACTATAGTTAAGCATAAGTCACATGACAAGGAAGCAAAGTTTTGCTGTAACGTATGTGATAAGCAACCTTAGCTATCACCAGTTGTGTCACAGCAGCTCAAAGAAAACTTTTGAATTAATGTTTTGGATGCCTTTTTTTTAAGCTACACACTTATCCTAACTAATCTTGGCCGGTTAGACAGCTTTGGTCAGTTCTTTATTACTTTCAAATTTCATATTAGGTAAGTTAAAAAGATAGAAAGCAAGCTTTTTTTTATTTTAAATGGATTAAATATGAAGATAATGTCAGTCTTGAGGAAGGTTTCTCTTCAAGCCCCCTGCTCCTTTGTCACTTCCACGAAATTGGTCAAGATGAAGTCCCGTGAAGAATGCAGCAACGATACTAAATTATGGGCCTCAGCAAACCTGTTCCCCCAACAAAAAGAAAAAAAATGGGATTTAGTTCAAATTCTGCATTGTATACGTACAGATACAAATAAAAAACATCAAAACAAGAAAATAATATTAATTATTATACTGTACGTACCTGTAAATTCTTAAAGCATTGGATGGATGAAGTTCTCTCCTGAGAAAGTTTGTACAAATACGTACAACCTGGGGTATTGCTATCATGTTTGCAGTCACAATTAACTCCTGTATGTTTTCCTTTGTTATCTCGATTGTTCCGAAATTATCCTCACCAGTATATATAAATTCTATGAGCAGTTTAAATAGATTAAATTTGTGATGAGAAAGTTCCACACGTGTCGCCGCCATTCTCAAATACTAATGTAACACTAACCACACAACCCACCAGTGTTTTTTGTAAATAGTGGTAGTGGTGATATCTGGTAATTTTTAACAGAGAGGGGGAGGTAAGAGGTGGTGGTGGTGATGCTTCCATCCTCACCTCCAAACAGTAGCAAAACTAAACTACAGCAGCCTGGGATAGGTAGTAAAAACTATACATTAATTTAAGTTTTTATTTTTATTTTAAGTGTGTGTTTGAGGATGAAGAGGAAGAAGAGGACCTGCAAGTTTCTTTGTTGGATATTCTTGAGCTTCTTGAGCTTGGGGAAGTGTCAAGAAGAGAGAGAGAAGAGAAAGAAAGTCAGTCAAATTGTGACTGCTTTAGCATCAGACCGACCCTCAAGTAGTGGTGTACAGTTTCTCCTCTTGTTGTTATTCTTAAGGTCAAAATACTCCACAGCGACAGATACCTTTAAAAAAAAATAAAGTTAAAAAATTGTATATATTAATATCAGTTTTCCATCATTAATCATTAATCCATTTCATTCTATTCTTCCTTACCAATCTCTTCTTTACCTCAATGTCACTTTTTCTACAGTCACCGCCTATGACATATAACAGAGAATTTGTGGCAACAACTGCTGGGCTATTTCGACAAAAAATTGATGAACACTTAAACCATTTGTTCTGAAACAGAAGAGGTTATATAATTACTTACAATTCTTCGTCATAATTGTAATTCAAAATAATAAGAATTTATAAGCACTGGTAAATAATCTTACCTGTTCAAAAGAATATTTTTCCATTGATTTTAGGCCCCGAATCCGAATACCACCACCTACACCTACTACGTAAAAAAAGTTATCCAAAAGTACAACACCTATTGGTAAAGAAGATGGACCTATTATTGGTGCTAAATTCTTCTACTCCCCAGTCACAGGATTGTATGAGAGAAGATCACGATTTTGCAGGTGGTCGAAAGTGATCTTATATCCACCAACAATGTAAATAAGACCTTGATGTTCTACTATACCCATTCTGTAAAAAAAAAAAACAGTACAGGCCACTGCAAAATTTTCTCATTATCAGTAATTCACACTATCAGTCAGATAAATTTATTTGAAAATGATTGATTTTTAACAGTAAACAGTACTTACTGGGATATAACTTTTGGCATATTTGACTCTAATAATCTCCACTCATCTGCAAAAGGATCATATCTTTCAATATTTGGGGATATGTCATCACATCCCTTCGTCCTACCACCGAAGGCATAAAGGTAACCTTCATGAGCACATAATCCAAAATGACATCGTGGGGTCACCATAGAAGATATCCCAGTCCAATCATCTTCCTGTGGATCATAAACTTCGCCATCTGCCAAAATCTGCAGACTGTCCCCTCCAATCCCTCCAACAACGAAAATGTTTCCATGTAAGACAGACTGCTATTTCTGGCGAAATTCTGAAATTCTTCCAATTTTCATAGGTCAAACTTTCTTCCATTTCTGCCTAAAGGTATCAAAACATTCGACACTTTTCAATGTATACTCATTTGATCTGTATCTAATTCCACCTATAACATAAATTTTCTTTCGAGTACAAATTCTTGGCTGGACAAAAGTTTTGCTGCTGCTGCTACTGTATGTTTTTAAGGATAAGCTTTATTTCCGAGTCAGAGTACTCATTAATTGATTTTTCTAGTAGTTTACTTTGAATTAAAGACAATTTCACTTGTTTCAAAATGTCAAAAAAAGAGTAGATAAATTTGATTGATTATAGTCTACTACGCAGCCGCAATTAACTCCTGTGCGTTTTCCACTGTTATCTCGATGTTTCCTAAAGTATTTTAAAAAAACAAAATTTCATTTGCAACAAAACAAAAATTTTACATAGAACTATGAAAACTTAAAATATTTTCCCTTACCAGTATATATGAAGTCGACGAGCAGTTCTAATATATAATTTCTTCCACTGTACTGGATAGACTTTGTTAACCAATGTTCCATTGACTTCTCCTAAATGTTTCTTCACTCACAGATAAATGTTTCACTTACTCACCTTCACAACTGATCCATCAGCTAATAATATTTCTACATCACATAACTTTTCTGACTGCCAGAGGAAATGTATATCGTCAGGTAGTTAGGATAAGATTTACATTCCTCCTCCTCCTCCTCCTCCTTCTCCTCCTCCTCGTGATGAGAAAGCTCCACACATGCAGCTTCAGATACTAATTATAAGGATACTTTCAAATTTCATGTTAGGTAAGTTAAATTAAAAGATAGAAAGCAAACCTTTTTTATTTTAAATGGATTAAATATGAAGATAATGTCAGTCTTGAGGAAGGTTTAGGGAGTCAAATTAAGACTGCTCTAGAATAAGACCGGCCCTCAGGGAGTGATGTACAGTTCATCCACTTATTATTCTTAGGGTCGAAATATTCCACATTAGCGACAGATACCTAAAAAAAAAGTTAGAGGTTAAAATTGTAATATAATTCATTCTATATAATTAATTCATTTCATTCTTCCATTGCCATTTTTCCTTTCTTACCAATCTATTAAGGTTATTTTGACGGTGACCTCCTATGACATATAACAGAGAATTTGTGGCAACAACTGCTGGGATACTTCGATCAAAATTCATTGATGAAAACTTAAACCATTTGTTCTGTGGAAGGAAAAGAAGGGAGGGGAGGTTATACAATTTTTACTCCCTCTTTTCATTACACTACATACAGTATTACAAAAATTCTTCTTCAATATACTTAAATCATTATTGTTGTCTTGGGAAAGAGAAAAGAAGGGAGTTATACAATTTTTACTCCCTTTTCACTACTGTAATTCAAATTGTATTGTATATAATAATAAGCATGCATATTACCTGTTCAAAAGAATATCTTTCTAGTGATTTTTCCGCTTCTTCATTAAAAAGAAGGCCACCCACTAAATACAAAAAGTTATTCAAAACTGCAACACCCATGTAGTTGTAGCGAGGTGGAGCACGTCCTGCTAGCGCTCTCCACTCCCCAGTTACAGGATTGTATGAGAGAAGATCATGCATGGGGTTGTAAAAGTTCATATATCCACTAACAATGTAAATAAGACCTTGATGTTCTACTATACCCATGCTGTAAAAAAAACAAAAGTACAGGCACTGTTATATTTTCTCATTATTATCAGTGTTCACACTATTAGTCAGTAAATCCAATTTGAAAATTGTTATTGTACTTACTTGGATCTACCTTCTGGCATATTTGACTCTAATAATCTCCACTCATCTGTAATAGGGTCATATCTTTCAATACTTTTTTCCATAACCGATCCCGTCCAACCACCGAAGGCATAGAGATAACCTCCATGAGCGCATAATCCAAAATTACACCGTGGGATCACCATAGAAGATATTCCAGTCCAATAATCTTCCTGTGGATCATAAACTTCGCCATCCGTCAAAATCTGACTCTCCTTTCCAATCCCTCCAACAACGAAAATTTTTCTATGTAAGACTGCTATTCCTGGTGAATTTCTCACAATTACCATGGGGCAAACTTTCTACCATATCTGCCTAAAGATATCAAAACATTCGACACTTTTTTTAAATTTATTTTGGAAATAGTTTTCTTTCTTTGATCCACCTATGACATAAATTTTCTTTCGAGTACAAATTCTTGGCTGGACATATAAGGCTGCCCTTTTGGCCGCCAAGTTTGTCTGCTGTTTAAGGTTAACCTTAAATCTAATATCAGAGGAGCACTCATTAATTAATTTTTCTATTAGTTTACTTGAAATTAAAGATAATTTCATTCGTTTTAAAATGTCAAAATACCAACAACCATATCTATTAGTTCTTCGTGTAATCCATCTAATAGCAGCAGAGAATACCTGCAATAAATAATAGAGAAAGTTAATTTTGATAGTTTGGGATTAAAACTTTATTATATAAAGTCAGTTGAAAGTTTGTAATATTAAATAAAAAAAATTATTTTACCTGAAACTCAGAGTCAATATGAAGATACTCTGACTCAAGAAAATACAGTATTTCTTTCGGAATCTCAAGAAATTCTTCCTCCATTGTCACTTCTACGAAATTGGAAAAGATGAAATCCCGCGAAGAATGCAGCAACCT